TCTGGCGAGCACGGTGGGCACTCTTCCATCGCCAATCATAATGGCAGAATTCCCATTTTCGCGGTTTCGGCATCCCTGATAGAGCGTGAGAGAGAGAAATACGTCAGTGCAGGTTTCGACGGATGGATTCTGAAGCCCATCGACTTCAGGCGTCTCAATACCTTACTCTTGGGAATAGTGGAGGACGACATTCGTGCAACGTGTCTATATGCCCCAGGACAGTGGGAGGGCGGCGGGTGGTTCAATGTCAGAGATTGCTCTGGTGGCGAAGAAAAGATTCTTGGCAAGGAAGCATCAGATGATGAATCGGCTACACCTACAGGCCAAGATGGAGTAACGAAAAAGACAGACGGCACAGCTTGATTGTGTCCATCGTCGTTGTTTCTCATGAGGCTGTTGGTTTCATCTCAGGCTTCTCTGCTCGGACAATTTCGATGAGCGGTCGGGTTGGTGAGGATGATATGGTGAAGGTTTGCAAAGCTAGAGCAGACTGTATCAGTTTTCACTCAGCATTATGAAGGGGAGGAGTGCCGTGCTGCTTGATGGCGAGAGAACGTGCGCCGAACTGCCTCCATGGGGTCTTGCAATTACGGAGTTCACCGCGAAGTTCAAGAGATGGACTGTATTCAAAATCGGACTAGGGTTTGCTGAAACTTGACGATATAGAGCTCAGGAGGGAATGGACGGATATACCATGACAAAAGCATACGGATTGCATGGAAAGGGTAAGGGCGACAAGCTGGACAGTGGTGGGCGTTTTCTTGGTTGCGAAATTACATATCTCCCGGCTTTTTGTCCTCGACGCAATATACCACTGCATGGTCTTCGCCATGCTGAGACAAGGAAAGAGCTTCACGGCGTATGAAGAATAAATGTACACAAGCAAACTGATCTCCCGACAGTGCTACCGGCCGTGGCAGATGTACACCAGAAGAACGTGTAGTAATAAGAGAAATGTACTGACGGCCTTGTCCATTTCGAATTCCACGTGGCACATACACCATTGCTGTCGAGAAAGAAATTCTTCTGAGCCAATTCTCGTCACCATGGCACAGCCCTATTTGCACCATTAGCAGGAGCATGCGATGTTAGTAGTGAAGGGGAAGGCAGGGATCTTAACTCTGTCTCGCTCATGTGGCATGCCTTCCAGTGGATGTGTACTTTGGTGTTCGTCACATATGTAACATCCTAAAGCCTGTACAAAACATCTTCTCATACCGTGCCGACTGCCAATTGTCACAGACGATGTGCGGAAGACAGAGGAGGAGCCAGGATACGAGTTTAATCAATTAGGGGCAACAGAGCACAGGCGGGAGACAACAACACCGCGACTGTGCGTCTTCCTCATACGTAGATCCAAGCATTATGGCGCCTCAGATAAGGTAGGGATGGGACAACATACGGAGTAGACGGGCCTCCCCTCCCCTCCCCTCAACCCGAGGGCCCCTTTTACAGGTTGGGAGTCTGTTCCTACCTAGGCACCCAAGCTCCGGGACCTGGCCGCTCAGTAACGGGCGCATGGTGGGAACTGGCTCATCCAGGACCGGCTACGCTGGAATATACAACTCTCAGTTGCAGAATCAGCGATGTTTGCGACTCATGCTCCGTCCATAGGCTGAGAAGTGTATCAGCGCATTCAGAGAGCAGGCAGGGTTAGGCGAGTACGGCGCATTTGATGATGTTGCCGCTACTACGGCTGGCTGTAAGCAAGACCAACTCCTGGTTCTCGTGCGTTTTCCGGTGTAACCCATTGACAACCGATAGTGATGAAGACAGAAAAGTCGATAAAGTTCAGTAAATCAACTGATGATACAAATTCGCTTCTCGACACCCTCCTCCCGTGTTTGGGACCCCTACATCTCATCTTTTCCTATGGCTTTTCGTGACAATATCCTCTTCCGAACGATTTCCGGAAATAGTAAGATCCGGACGGCAGAGACAGCGGGGAAAAAAACCAAGAGTGGGTGGTAGGACGGATGTCTATAAGATGACGAAAAACGCAACTCCAAAGACAGAATACAAAGGCTAGACGGGCCATCAGTTCAGGAGAAAGGACGCGGACTGAGCGTTCAGTCAAGCATCCTACTTTGTATTCTAATTCGCAGACCTGGCACACCACCTGTCTGCCAAACAAGGTTCTCCGCTGCCATCGCGGGTTGAGATACCCGTGCGCCGCTCTCTCTCTTACACTCAAAGCTTGATTGACGTGGTTCTTGCTGCTGTCCACCGCTCGTATCCTTCTCTAGCTGGTGAGGTTTGAACTCGCAGCTGAGGGGACCTCTTGAAGCATGGTCTTCCCGGCTCAAGGGGCGGACAAATGCAGGTGCCGCGAAGTAAGAAAGTCAAAGTCAAAGCCCCCCCGCTGTCTGCTTTCTCGATCCATAGTAACACCAGAGTAGTTCACACGCTAAACATCTTCACCCTCCTCGCTCTTTCGCCTCTTCCGCGCTTAATCTTTCTATTTGGTTTAAACTCTGCTTTCCCGCGAACCCCATGCGGCTCTCTTCCATGCCTCGCCTCGCTACTCCCTCCCCCTGGCAAACCCTCATCGAGATGGATGTGAATCCAGAATCAGGGAAAAGGCACGGACTTCACTTCGCCATCATCAAGCAGGCCAAGACAGACAGACGGGCAGCCAACTTGTCGTTGACCAGCTGGGCTCATCCCTAGTTCCATCTGGCGATATTGGTGAATCGAGTCTTTCCAGTTCGTTAGTCTGATTGCGGGTTCCGTTTCGCCGTGCGTGATACTCGCTCATCTGAACGAGGGACGGCCCAGTCGACCTGTTTCTTTTTTCGTTTCCTCTTCTCTTGCCGCCAACTGGGATCAGAGTCTCGGCGGTACGAACCTGTTGGTGTGACGAGAATGACTCGGTCATGATGGCGAAGAATGGTGGTGTGCTCCGCAGACACACTTCCTTCGCGTGAATGCTCTTCGGAACTCTGTCTTCCCCTTCCCGTCATCCTATTTTGAGCCCCTGCTCGCAGCGGTTCATGACTTGTCTTTGGGAAGAGGGGGCCTGCGATGTGCGTCTTTTAGTTTGGCTCTATTCAAAAACGCATTCTTTCCCCCGTAATCGACCTGTTTAGTAGGTGCCGCCCGCCAAGTCAACATCTGCTTAAGCTGGCATGTTCACGCTATCCCATTCTTCATCTTGCCTTAGCCAAAACCACCGATCGCCAGCGAAGATTAGTATGGCAAAGCTTCCTGCAGACTCGTACGAAGACCAGAGAGGAGTTGTCATCGGCTCCGTAGTCTTCTGTATCATGTTTCCCACCACGCTGGTGGGTCTACGGATTTACACGAGAACAAAGGTCATTGAACTATTCGGCATTGATGACGTTCTTGCCATCGCTGGACTTGTGAGTCGTGTCAACAACGTCCTGGTTGGAAACAAGAAGGACTGACTGTTCTGAGGAAAGTTGGCTTTGATAGGCTGTGGAATTGCTATTGTAGCAAGTACGTCGTGTCACAAACCTCCTTGAATAAGAGGGTCCTGTTCATGTTGGCTAATGCGGACGGCAGTGACTGAACATGGCCTCGGGAGACATATCTCAACACTGGACAAAGCAGAGATCCCAGAGTACCTCCACGTGAGTTTCAGCCCTTTCCCTACCAGATATGTTCAAATTTCATCTGTTGGGTGCTCGCTCACACGGCTCTCCAGACCTTCTTTGTCTCCATCGTCTTCTACAACATTGCGCTTCTCTGTATAAAATTGTCTTTTCTGTTCCAATATTACCGAATCATGGCTGTTCCTAAGATGAGGAGAATTTACGCTGTCGCAATCGTCGTGGTTGGAGCATGGGCCGTTTCCCAGCTTCTCATCGCTACCTTCACCTGTATACCCGTCGAAGGGTTCTGGGACAAGACCATCAAGGCATATTGCATCCCTAACCAGCCGCAGTGGTATGTGAATGCGGCGGGAAATATTGCCACCGACGTCGCCGTCTTTGCACTTCCTCTGCCCATATTTTGGCATCTTAGTCTCCCCAGGAAGCAGAAGCTGCTCCTCATGGGGATATTCAGCCTCGGATTCTTGTGAGTGGTTACAAATTTTGTCACCGATCGTTCGACGCAGCATGTCGGTTTTCTAACAGTTACCAGTACTGTGGCCGTCTCTATTGTCCGCACCAAATATCTCAGCATCCAACAGGACTTCACCTGGACCAATGTTGAAGCTTCTCTCTGGTCGCTTGGAGAGATCTCTTCGGCCGTTACCTGCGCCTGCCTTCCGACTCTGCGACCCCTCATGACCAAACTGTTCCCGAGGATGATGGCTAGGGTGAACTACTCCTTGCACTCGGACACTCGTGGCACCCGCGATACCCGTGGCACATTCCCCACGAGTGCATATCCACCAGCCATCGTCAAGCCCGACGTAGAGATGGCCACCACGGAGTCGGCTGTCTCAAGCGCGCGGTCGAGCCACGCGAAGGAAGACAAGTCCGCCACCCACGTGTCGCCTTATTCAAATCAGCACCAGACCGCTTCGACCGAAAGCATCTTTGGTTTGGCAAGTGTACGAGAGGACGCAATCACCCCCGTCAAATCCAACTTCAGCCCCACGAGCCCCAGACCGACATGGTCCCCTTCTTCCAGCAAAGGATCTCAGGGCCGAAGAGAGATACGCAGAAATGGCTCTGTGATCTGACATGATTCGAGAGTGATGCTCGTTCAACAGCAAAAAGTTTCTATGGGATCTGGGCTGGTAAATCGAAGAGTGAATAATGTATCGTCAAGAGGCTTCCGAGATGCCGGTGTCATCTACAACGTGTGCCAGAGGGTGCCGAACGGGAGGAAAACGTCCACTTTTGATTGAAAAACGAAGCTCTCGATGTCTTGGATACATGATGGCATCTATCGACTTTTTAATACCCCGGTTAATAATCAAGTAATCATCTATTAAGGCCCCCCTGCCTCTCGCATTTGGGTATCTCTTGTGGGTTGTGTTCTACGTGCTCACATCATCTTTCATTCTTGGTGTGTTTCTCACCCACTCATCGCCCAAAACGCCACCAGGACCTCCCCTCCGGCTCTTTATAGCCTTCTTCCTGAACATTGTGCTTTCCAACAATTGTGAGGAACACTTGGTCTAGTGTTGTGGGACTGACGCTGTAATGCATGACACCCAGGTTCTCGCGTTGCTCCTCCAACATGACAGCCAGCTGACCAACGGCGCTGGAAGATACATCCTGGTCCGCCCGCTTGATTTCTTCAACTTTGTGGCCACTGAACGCGCTCAGAACTTCGCTCGCTGGCACGGAAAAGCGCATTTGGCCGTGGTAGGTCTTCTCCTCCACTTCAGCCCCAGGTAGGAATTTCTTAACCCAGTTACGAAGCCTCTCTGTTTCTTCTAGGGTGGTATGTGGCGCCGTCTTACTGATCAGGTGCACGTGAAGAGCATCCCCGAAGCGATGCCGAAGGCTGTCTGTCGTGCCAAGTGCCAGCATACGTTTCGCCAAGATCCCGGCCCGGCTCGCAAGGGCGTCGGCCTCCTCCATGCTGTGTGTCGTCAACAGGAGAGATCGCCCAGGAACCGTGGCCGCTAGCGTCTTCCACATGATACGCTTCGCAGCGGCGTCCAGGCCCGAAGAAGGCTCGTCTAACAATACCACGGTCGGATTGCCCATTAACGCGATACCGAGGCTTAGTTTACGCTTGTTACCGCCCGACAACGCGTGGGCCATGCGCGTCGAAAAGGCCTGGAGCCCAACTGCGTGAATCACGGCGTTGACATTGTGATCGATATCGGGAATGCCGCGGACGCGAGCGTAAAATTCCAAGTGTTGGCGCACTGTCATTAGATCCATCGCATCGTGTTGAGGGCAGACACCAAGGTGCGCCCGCGCAGCCGGCAAGTCGTGGATCACAGATCTATCCTCGACCAGTATGTCGCCGCCATTACGACTTGATTTGAGATCTCCGCGAATCAGAGAAATAGTCGTCGACTTGCCAGCTCCATTTGGTCCTAGGAGAGCAAAGACTTCTCCACGCTGAATGCCGAAGGTGACATTATCAACGGCAGTGTTCTTGCCGAAAGTCTTCGTTAGATGTATTACTCTAAGCCCATCATCGTTGTTTTGTGTCGTCGTGACTCTGTTCAGCTCGTTTGCCAGCTCCTCATCGGACGAGCTAGGATCTTCAGGTTCAGGATGTCGACGTTGCCAAAGTCGCCGTATGGACAAGCCAACAGAACCACTGTCAGCCCACACCAGAATGCCAAAGAGAAGAATGGACTGGATGACTAGGTACAATATGAGGCCACCGTATTGGAGCATTCCGCCCGGATTGGGCGCAAGCTGGCGACCATCACAGGCTGTTGAGAACAGGTTCAGAGTCAAGAACATAGCTCGAACAACCGAGCCAATGGGCGCGACGGCGGAGATGACAAAGTGGACGACAAGCAGATAATCGTCAACCCGAGTCACCGGCGCAAACGTTACCGTACAGAGGTATGCAACCAGATAGACAAGGAACATGACTGCTTGCCCTGCGGCAACCCAGGCGTATGTAGAAAGCTGCGTCTTACAGAAAAGAGAGATGACATAGGCCAAAAGGATAGCGGTCAGCCCGTAAAGCATGAATACGAGAAAGATGTAGCCGACATGATACCAGATGTTTGAAAGGGTCGCCCAGAGAATAGTCACCAGTGCTGTGGAGGCGAGTACAACGATGAAGTCGAACGCGAGATAAGCAAGCCATAGAGGCAATGGTCGAACACCATTGGAGTATTGCAGGCCTCGAACCATCCGCCGGCGTTCCAGACTCGGGTACAGGGCGAAGAACCCGGGGTAAGCCGAGAGAGCTATGCCGGTGTAAACGAGGAATTGCAGGGAGTTGCCGGTGTCAGGGTCCCAAGGAGTGGCGAAGGGTGCCCAGGCCATCATGAGTGTGACATTGCTCAGGAGCATGTTCATGAGATTCTGGGTCAGCAACGGATTGATAAGACCGTTGTAGTTAGCCATATAGGCCATGGTAGGTTCCATGCTGCCATCCCCAAACCAAAGACCACCTGGCAGTGTTTCAACCCGTCGCTCAACAATGGTGCTTTTGAAAGAGTCGAATGTTTCAGCAAAGGTGGCATTCTCTTCAAGCAGTTGCCTTGCAAAACCTAGTCCAGTGCCCGTACTGGATCCTAAGCCACCGCTGCCAGAGGCTGCGTTGAAAACCGGCAGAAGAACGCTTGCGGCGGTGTTCAAGTCCAACTTCGAAGATGGCCCAAGAACCAGTTTCCATGTGAAGTCTGTGAGACTGAAACCCTGGGTTTGGTCGAGCGAACGCTCTTCAGAGGGTGCGCATCCCGGCTTGTTTTGGCCTTTGATGAATAAAGTGACGAGGCCGGCGGCTGCTACGGGGAGAATGAAGGCGGCGAAGTGCGGAATCCAGTTGGTCTTGAGGATGGTGATGCGCTTCCGGAAGAGAACGGCTGCTTGCTGCATATAACCAATGCGATTGCCGTCAAGAAGTTTTAACCCTCCCGGAGATGCGACGCCAGTAGTATGAGCCTCGTCTGATGCTACTTTCTTCTCGTTGTATTCCGACGTCGTGTCAGACGCGGACGGGAAGTCTCCTGCTTCTCCTCGGACCTCCTCTGCCAGTTGCAGGAATACGTCCTCAATTGTAGGCCCAGAGAATCGGTATTTATGGATGTCGTTGGCCTCTAAGGTGCGGATAACCTGAGCAGCCAGGGTTGAGGATGGCGCGATATAACTGACAAGATCGAACGAGATCTTCTTTTGAACACCGTGGACATCAGGGCCATCCTTAATGCCAGTGTCCTTATGAACATGAACGCGATATCCACCGCCAAGACGGTCTTTCAGTTCGACGGAAGATCCATCAGCACGTAGTGTACCTTTCGACAAGATGGCGATATGGTCAGCCAGCAGATCGGCTTCGTCTAAGAAGTGAGTTGTAAGGACAATTGTGCGGCGCCCTCGCTCGGCCAAGAGGATGTCCCAGAGTTTTCGCCGACTGAGAGGGTCGATGCCGCTGCTGACTTCGTCGACACAACAGACAGCACTTCCTCCCGTGAGCATCATGCCCAGCTGGAGCTTTCTCTTTTGTCCCCCGGACAGAGTCTTGGACATGGCTTTCCGCTTCAGCTCAAGGTCAATCGATTTGATGAGGTCGCGAACTTCCTGTTTCGACGCAAGATCTTTCGGCGATTTGAGCCTGTTAAAGATCTGGATATGTTGCTCAACAGTGAGATCGTCCCACATGACATTCTTCTGAGGCGCAATTCCCAGCCCGCCGGTGCCATCAATGGTGATAGCACCGCTCGTCAGTTTGTTGGTGCCGGCAATGGAGTCCAAGGTTGTAGATTTGCCACTGCCATTGGCGCCCAAAAGGGCGAGGATTTGGCCTCGACGGATGTTCAGAGTCAAGTTGTTGACAGCGACAACAGGTTCGCGAGGGCGCGAAATGAAGGAAAACATGCGACGCAGTGCCGAGGGCTTATAAATCTTGCTGAAGCCATCGATACGGACAGCCGCCTCGGTTGCTGGGTCATTGGCCGAGCCGAACACGACGTTTCTGCCCTGGGTGGTAGTGCCGTGCAGTCTCGACTCGATGACTGCCCCAAGAAGGGGATACCCAAATACCTGGATGACCAGAAATACCCATAACACGATTCCAGTGAGTTGCCACGGGCTACCCGGAGGAACCTGTTTCAGATTCGTCGGAGCGTCACCTGATTCGTAACGGGCCATGTATGTAATAAAGTACACATAATTACACGGCGTGAATAGGAAACTGAGAATACCAACAGTGGCGGTGCTAGGGTAGGAAATGGATTGGGCGAGAATCCCAAGTATGATAATGATCAGAACAGCAGCGATGCCGCTGATTTGGGCCTTTTTGAAAAAAGAGGAGGCCAAGATGGAAAGAGAGGCCATGGCTATTCCGTTGAGAACATGATAGACCAGAACAGTGGCCACACTCGTGCGAGCAAAGACACCGGCTCGAAGTACTAGAGAACCGACGATCCATCCAGGAAGGTAGATGAGCACAAATGCGAAATGATAAGAAACGATGCGGGCCGCCTGGGCATGCCATCGTTGCTTGACAGGCATCATGGCGTCGAGGAGTCGGGTCATGCCACTCTCACGTTCGGTCGCGATGAATCCGGTGAGATGGTAAGTAACAAACAAGACGCTGGTCATGAAGGCAACGCCCATCCAGTTGGTAATGGCGCTCTGGTACCGGATACGAATCTGAATGGCACGTTCTTCCTGGGTCATGCTCGTAAAGGGATATTCGGTCACCGTGTTGGGCAGAGGGCCTTGCTGGACTTGCGAGGAGTTGGAACTGGCGACTTTGGCGATGGCAGCATCAACTGCACGTTGCAGAGGTAAGAGGTAGATCTGAGCGTCATTCCTGTCCGAGTCGACGTCGACGACCATTGATCGCAGTGCGCCATCGCTGCGCAAGGTATAATTCCAGTAATTGCCGGTGCCCTCAGCGGGGGAAGAATGGAAAACAACGGCGCCATAGCATCTGGAAACGCCGCGAAGGTTGCTGCGGCAGTCTGTACCCAGGTCAGCTGTAGATGACCGGCGTAGGGCTTTCCTGTCGACGCTCTCGACGGATTGAGTGAGCGTGTCGATGACTTTGTCGATGTCCCCGCCGATGAGACCGTTGTTCACGAAGACAACGGTCTGTCTACCGGTGCTAGCTGCGGCATCGAGGGCATCCGGTAGAGAACGAATCTGCCTTGGGTCGGAAACGCCGTAGACGGCTGGGGGGACGAAAAGATTCTTTGCGAAGCTGAAAAATGTCGTCAAGGCGATAGGGAGGATGAATGCAATGAAAATGGCCGCGATGGAGTGGCGGCTGATTATCCTCCAATTTTTGACAGTCAAAGTCCAAGTCTGGCGTAGAAGCGCCATCATGGGCGAGAGTCGCCTCGGGCGGCTACGTCGTCGTTTCCCGTTCTTGGTATCGATTCGCGTATTTTGTTGTTGACGGTGCCGACGTGAGGATGCGATTTCGCGGACGTTTTGGGATGAGCAGAGGCTCGCGATGAAGCCTGGCTGAACAAATGTGCGAAAGAGAGTGGAATTTTCACAAATCCAAGCCGTACCTTCTCTTGTTACTCCAACGACCTCTCGAGGCGGCGTGTGAGCCACGACAAGGGGGTAGGAAGAATGAAGACGAAATGGATGTACGTATTAGGACGAAATAGACGAGACGAACATTGGGACGAGGAAGACCCTTGGAGACACGGCGTAGGCACGGTGTCTTGGGGTGTGATGGATCACTCTGGATGAACTCTCGACCTGGAGCAAGACACCTCGGGATTAGGTCAGACTGCCGTCGCGAGCGATGAGGGACCGGAGAAGAATGATTTCTCCTGGCGCCGTGCCGTGCGTGCGTGGCTTGCCTAGGTAGGCAAGGCACACCGAACTGAACTGAACTGAAAAGGCAGCCGACGCGCGACGTGCCAAGGTGGGAGTCAAACTGGGGTTCGCCTCTTCCACCGGGCGTTTGGTCTTCGTAATTCACAGCTGAGGTATCCACCCACTACCTACCTTACCTACCTTACGTTACCTTAATAATAAGGTAGTAGGTAAGGTAAGGGAGGCAATAAACGACGGTAATTGGCCCGAATACCGGCCGGCGGCACTGAGGTGACCCCCGACCCGTCCATGCTCGCGCTGGACCCTGGCACAGATGTCTGGGCCACGGATAGGTACACAATTACCTACAACGAGATGCACATCCCACCCTTCCGCCAAACATGATGATAGGTACTCAGCAGCAACATCATCGCCGCGACTCGAGGCAGCAAGTGTAAAATGCAGTCTTACGGCTACCCACTTGCACCGTTGTTGGGCGGAATCTCGCCAACGAAACGGGATCCAGCACAGCCTCCTCCGCTAATCAGACAGCCGTTTGTGTCTCGGGCTTTGATCGTTGCAGTGGCTACTTCAATCCTTCATGTTTCTTGGCCCCCGACGTTGGGCGGGATCGGACTTGGTCGAAGCTCGGTGTGGCTTCGGGCCAAGCCGCACCGTGCAAATATCGTTGACGTCGGTCCAGAACGGTCAAGAATGTCTTGAATCCATCGATTATACCAGCCCACCAATCACATCGCACTATCTCCCCAGAGGTCAAGTCTATCACGTCCTCCCCAAAGTGCCAAGTTCTGCCTCGTCGTTGTTCAAAATTGCTGCTGCCCTGGGGTATCTAGACTCATCATCTCCTCTGTCATCGGCTCCCTTGACTCGCCCTGCGATAGTGTAGGTGATCGTCATCTACTCCACTAGGAATCCTCCTCCACCGTCCTCCTCCTCCATGTCATACTCCTCTGTAACGTCGCTCGGTGCATCTTCAACTTCTTCGTCTTCGTCTTTCTCCGCCCCGAGAACCGAAACGTCTTCTAACCCCATGTCGCCATCCTCGCCATCCCTTTCGGTGTTCTCTTCCCCCTCGTTAGCTGCAAAGCCTCCGCTTTCTTCCACATCCACATCCTGAGCGGCGAAGCCTACACCGCGGTCGCTGTCGACATCCTCATCCCCAGCAACGAAGCCTCCGTCACCGCCCTCTTCCTCTTCTACTTCCACTTCTTCAGCCACGAAACCCCCACCGCCATATTTGCTCTCGTTACCAACCATGAAACCTCCAGATCTGCCTTGACTCGCATCTTCTTCAACTATAAAGCCTCCCCCAAATGCCTCGTCCTGGGCAAGACATCCCCTACCTTGGTTATCACCCTCAACCATGGAGCCGCCTGTTGCCATACTTTCTTCACGCTCTGACATTTCCGCGATTTCCCCAACCATTTCCCTCTCCTCTTCGGCTCTCTCTTCGGGGTCCACTCCGGCCCATACGCGCTCCCGGATCCGGAGTGCCGTAAGAAACCTCTTCCACATTCGGATCGCAGCCAAAGACCTCTTGCTCCGCTCTACTTGTGCTTCCACATCTCCCAAACCCTCCATCACAGCCCGAACGGCTTCTTCATGCTCTCGTGCTACTACTACGCCATTCAGCACAGCTGTACCATGCTTTCCCTTGAAATTGAACCCTGTCAACGCCGGCGCGTAGTCAATCCCTAGTATGTGAGCGGCGCGCGCAGCAGCGTCGAATTCGTCCGTGACGTGAACTCCACCTTGCGGCACCATGCTCGCCACGTATAAATCAATGTTCCCAAACTTGTTCTTCGGCACACGACCATTGATGACTGGCGGGGCATGGTAAAGCTCTGTCTGCTCTTCGGTAAATACCGGCATACCTGCCGCGTCTCTCTCATCTCCGCCGTATCCATCGTCAATAAACTCGCCTGGCCTGGCGTTGGATCTTCGAGGAAGAAATTTGACCGGAACTTCCATAGGCTTGACTTCGCGTCCGTAGCTGCGGTACCATTTGTCCCTACTACGCGCAATCCGCACGTCCCTACGCCGGTAGACCTTCTCCAACGGCGCTTTGCTTCCCGCCGAGACCGTCCCGGCGGGCTGCGCTTCTGGTATAAGAACTTCATTGCGCCGCAAATGCCTTTCCAGCGCAAATACGGGGTGGTCCTTGAAGTCTGCCACGTTTCTTGGCATAGGTTCACGGCCTTCGACAGCCATCAATTCGTTGTCTTCAATCTGATCAAGATCTGTTTTTGGACGTCGAGTGAACGGTTTAAGAGCCTTGCGCCACCACCGGTCACCTCGTTCAACAGCAGTTTCGACACGCAATCTTCTTGTCTTTGCCGCATATGCCTTGGCGTACCTCCTGGTCACGTCTCGCGCAGTACCGTCAGATTCAAAGGCAACCACATAGGTCATGCAATTTTCTCGGTCGGAGGCCGGTGGCTCAATGGCACGAGGTTTCCACATCGAATTTGTAACCAGCGGATCCACAGGCTGCCATTTCTGATGAGCAGTATCAAGAACTTCTACCCAGTAAACCGGAAATGGCGACTCGCGGATATTAATCGGAGTCTCTTTCAGCTGTCGACCTTTCGGGGGTGATGCTGGTATCGACGGTAAGTGGTAAGCCGCGGCGTTTGGGTGGCCAAGCCGTCGCAGAGGCGAAGCTTTGCTCATATCTGACGACGATGATCCTTCTCCAGCCATTGAATACTTGGCTACCTGTGCCTGAATCTGTTCTGCTCTTGTAGGCTTTGATGGTGTCTTCAGGCTACGGGGTTTGGGGAGCGTTGGACCACCTGAGGCGAAAGAGAGTGGCTGCAGAGAGCAAACCAAGCGGGCGCGGATCCCAGCAGATCGCAGCAGGGCACAGTATAGCTGAGCACCAACATCTCGAGAGCCTTGTAGCTTTCTGGCAGCCTCCCTGAAATTAGATCTTTCCAAGCATGAGTCCATATTGCTCGGCGGTTCGTACTTACAAGGTGAGTCAGCCATGATGTGTCTCGAGACAGTGTGGAAGCGGCCTACGTACCTTGGAGATGTGCTCGGGGTCCTCAGCCCAAAGAGCCCGGCGCAATCCCTTTTCTATGATATGAAACTTGGCCTTGAAAATGGACCCAGCTTGTTCAAGACCAGTTTTGAGAGATTGTGTTTGGCCAAATTGTGGCAGATCAGATGATGGGTTCAGATAATTGACGATCTTCTTGGTCAAAAGAGAACGCATTGATTTCTGTACTTCTCCATCGTCGCACCATCGGTTTCTCAAAGCGCAGTGCAGCATCAGGCAGAGCAGATGTGTCCGATGTACTGTTATGCGGCGTTCCCTCTCCTCTTTCGAGATAGGCTTTCTTCTATCGGCGCCCTTTTTGGCTGCAGGTGTTGTCGGCGTATGGGCTGATAGATTGAGTGTAAGCTTCTTCGGTTCCTCTGTAACCTCCACATCCGGGTGTACGGCGCCCAAATCGACATCCTCGAATTCGATGTCATCTTCGGATTCTTCCTCGTCTGAATCTCTTTCCATTGTCTGGAAAATAGGTGGGGGGAGAGCGACGTCTTCAAATTCAATATCTTCATCATCTTCGTCTTCGTCCGGCTCTGGGGCCTTGGGCGGATCGACTCGGGCAGTCTTCTCTCCAGGTCGCTTAAGCTTCTTCAACGGCGGCTCGGAGGGAGCTGGAGTGGAAGGACCAGTACCAGCGCTTGCCTCAAGCAGCATCTCTTGGTAGACATTTGGCAGGCCGGGGGTGGCGGGCTGCGACCGAGATGCCCTGGTTCTTTTGCGGCCAGCCATCATGGCAATCGACCAGGGAAGGAAAGACTTCAAGTGGACGGCGGCGATTGCAGAAGAATTTGCATATGCTACGAAAGTGTCGATAGGTCTTCGAAAGACTGCATGACTGGCGGCGATGTTCACTGAAAGCCGTTGGTGATAGACAGGCAAAGCTCGACTTCTTGACTCGTCGCGGTCGCTCCTGCTAGGCTGACACTGGACACTGGGCGCACAACGTCATGAGCGCACGGGCCATTATCGCGCGCGCGTGGCATACACTACATGCACGTACTACGGATACACACAGCAATAAATGTGACTCTTATACTTGGGTACGTCGGGTACTTCAGGCCTAGGGCAACCATTTTCGTCTCCCCAGCGCGCACTGGCCCTCCCTCCTCCAAGTGTCCGCGCACTGGCGCCAAATTACTTCCGACATAGTATCAATATGGGTTCCTGATCTTGGAACGATACACATTTTGCGGATACGCAGGTCTTCAAATGAACAGCTGCTGTCCGCGCCCGGTGCAGGATCAGTCGCGATAGAAGAGAGTCGTGTCCAGAGGTATTCTCTCGCCCATCCAGATGGCGCGTTGTGTGTGGTTGCGCAGCTCAATGGCATTGTGGTTGCCCTCTTCGTCTGTGTTGGGATGGACGAGTACTGACAGGGGCCCTCTGTAGATGGCTAGCCACGGGATAAAGGCACCGAACTGTGCAGGCGTGAAGAGATTGACCTCGAACATGGCGACAGGGTGCGGGCCGACGGGCTTCTCCCAGAATCGGTAAATTCTCAGCTCAGGGACTAAGATAGTAATCATCAAGTCGTCAGTGAGAGCTATTTCTACTCGGTCCTTGATCCGACTTACACTCTCGTCGAATGCGCTCCCACAAGTCCTTGGCATGCTTGACCTGGTCCGGGTTATTCTGGAAATGGTAGATGTGGATGTCACTGTATTGATGTTAGTCCTACGGGTAAGGAAGGTCGAAGCTCAATGCCGCTTACAAGCCTCCTCGACGCCCATTCGAAAGCGGAGCCGGGAACGACTCGTACGCCTCGCTCAGCCCTTCACGTGGGGGATTTCTGAAGCTTTTGCCATCTTCGTTGAGATCGCTGGGTAGAGGAGGTGCATTTCCGTAGCCCTCGGATGGCGACACGAAGGTGTAACGCGGGGGATTGGTGGCCATTTTAAGAGATGATATTAGGTAGTCTGTGTGGTGGCTTTTTAGCTTTGGAGGTTTGAGGTTGGTTGGTTGGTTGGTTGGTTGGTTGGTTCAATCGGGGTTCCACGACAAGGATACTTGTCTTATTGGCAAGACTGCTCATCATCCATTAGGGGTTGCCGACTGCCATATATACTAGGTACTCGTGGGGTGCAAGAGAAGGCAAGCTGCTTTATTATCTGTGCCATTTGGTAATTACTACTGAGGTTTCCACTGGTAATTCTGGACGTGTCCAATTGTTACCTTGAGGTGTGCACTGACGCCATGCATCTTTGGTAAGCACACTAATTTCTAAGCAGCCGCGCGCGCAGAAAAGCGTCAGTCTCTCCTCACTTGGTACACGGCGTACCGACTCATCCTGGCCGTGTCTCCGAACCCGGGGAGCGAGTCCACCGCGGCCACATGCTCCCACCATACTTTCCACTTTGTTCCCGTCTTCGCCCCCGCTTCGTCCCATAAGCGCTGGAAGCTGGCTTGATCGTGCAGATACATCCGGCGCCCCCTGTTGTCGCTTTCCTTCGGCTCCGTAGTCCCCAGATGCCGTCCGAAGACAAGCCCGTCTTGAAGTCCCGGCTTGAGGAACTTGATGATGCGTTCCGCTGCCATTACCTGTTGCTTCCAGTTGAACAAGTGGAAGAAGGCATTGGCCCAGATGATGCTGATTTGTCCGTTAAGCACAGAGAGACCCGTGTCGGCCGGGTCCAAGATGTCACCCGCCACAAGCGTACCCCGGAACCGGCCCTTGTCCCGGAACAGATCGTAGCCGATGTCCAGAAACTCGCGTTGCACATCCGCTCCGTAAAGCCGGGAGCTATCAACACCGTCGTGTGCGAGTTGCCGGAGAGCTTGCCCGACGCAAGTGCCCAGGTCCAGCAGCGTGTCTCCCGAGTCCGCTTGAGTTAGTCGGCCTAGGACTTTTTGATACAACGCATCCTGTGGATCGGCCAGCAGGAGAAACCGCCAGCGCCCGATGCACGGGTAGTGGAAAACCTTCCACAGCGAGTCGCGCTTTTCTTCGTCAGCCTTCGGTCTCATCCTATGATCGCGCCATCGACCTACAATCCTTCGTATGTGGTTGTCCATCTCCCCTGCGGGAATGCCACTGTAGTCTCGGAGAAGAGCGCGGGACGCTTCATACCCCTCAGGCAGATCTTTCTCGTACATCCATGTTTGCTCTGCGGGCACGTCCGCACTTTCAAAGAATTCTTTTGTCATTTGAGGACTCTGGCTCGTTGGAGATCACAGTTGTGTGTTTGAAATGAGGGCGCTTGGCCGACTTTATCTTGCTGATGCCCATCTGACATGGCTTGTTTCACTGGCGATGCTCGGTGCGAAACCGGCGACTGCTGCCGATGAGCCGCACTTCCCCTCTTTGCGTCAACAATTCCATCCAGCAAGACATGCACTAGCAATCTCACCATGTGCAGCTTGCTGGAAGCCATGAGCTACGACATGCCGGTCCAGATCTGCACGCACAACATGTGCTTACTTACGTAGTCCAAGCGTGATGGGAAGAGCACATCGCCTCCAACCTTGCTGATATGCAAGTCCTCATTCAGGTACCGAAGCTCACTTAGGGCGTAAGATACTATTGGTCATTGGCAAGTTCAAGTGACAGGGCGTCGCATTCAGCCCCATCTTATCAACATTAAACTTGTTGCCTCCCGAAGTCTGGAAATACCTCATGTTAGCAACCGGGCGGGTTCCATGCAAAAAGAGCAAACACAATCGCAAAGACAAGGGGATAGTGGCGACATGGATGGCGGAGAATATGTGATTTTGTCTGATTAGGCATAGTGTCCTTTTTCTGTTTCCATCAACAAGTGACTGCAGATGCAGCCAGTACGGACACTCGAGTCCCTCCATCCCTAAAAGATGGTGGACCCCGTATCGGTCACCACTATTCCAACAGATGGGCCAGGCATGGTCTTTTCAGTTCATGGTTGCCGTTGAAGATCGAACTCGAGCCGAGCCTCCTAGTCTCTGTATTGGCCTTGAGGAATGTAAGTCCAGTCTGATATGTATGCTGGTGTTGAGCCAAGCCCTCCATTACTTGTGCAATACACACCAACAAAGACGCCTACATCACATTAGCAGGGATTTTCATCACAAACCTAGATCAAGTACCTGTAAAGCCCCAGCTTAGAGCATCATTCGACGCATACACCAGTGTCTTCATTCGAGAAGCTGCATTGGCCGGGCCGGCCGAAAAAGAATAGTGCGTCAGGTTCGCGGCCTTCACCTCTAGCCTGACTGGCGAGGCTACCCATTCTTCCGGCACTGGAGCTGTGATTTCGTCTGGGACGGGAGAATATGACTCGCCCCGAAATCTTAAATGTAATTCCAGTTTTTCGGAATCATCCCCCGTAGTCAAGTTATACCCCGGAAGCGCCCGCGTGGTTCCGTTTGCTGGCAGTAAAACCAAACTCAAGTCGAGATGATGATTTTGCGTTAGGAAGACAGAGATGCCGACCTCTTCCTCTTCTAGCGTGGGTGAAAAGTCTATTGTTACGCCATAAGTGAAGAGTGTATCCTGCTGTCGCCTACCCACGAACGTTTGCCCGCCAGGACCGGCGTAATTGCCATTGCGGGCTGTCAAGTTGAGCTTTGACGGCATGAGACGTAGGCTGTTGGAACGCTCAGGTGGTGATACTGTATATGAGCTTTCGACGGGATAACGCCAGTGTGTGAAATGAGCTGGCAGTGCTGAACCAGCCTCGAACTCAACACTATCAGCTGCAACTTCGCCCGACATGACCCAGTGGCTAAACTCGTCAGCCAAGTACCAGAGACAAGAGCCAAATGTCTTCTTACCCAGAGCCCTCAATATCTAGATTCGCTGGTGGCATGGGCCAACCACTCATCTTGCCCTGAATGGGCGACATTTGCGGCCATTCTCCCTCTCGCCAGGTTACGGCGGTCAGGACTGTTTCACGGCCCATGGGAAAGTAAACCCACTCAGGGCCAGATCTTGTCGATAGCGCGACACCCCACCTTATTCATGTTAACATAGGCATCCACAATACTCAAACGACTTACCAGTTTCCTGAATCATCCTGGAAGAGGTCGGCATGTCCGACAGTCTGGACTGATGAGTTTTGGTATGCCATTCAGGCTGCTAGAGAGAAATACAACACAGTAAAGCTCGCGAAAACTTACAGTAGGAGGTTGTGTTTGCATTGGTGAGAATTGGGTTGGCCGGATTTGACTCATATGGACCCCCAACATTCTCCGAACGAGCTATCGTGACCATGTGGCCGACACCAGTACCGCCTGGTCCATGTCAGCGGCGATTCATACGCATGAATGTTGAGCCATTGCCTTCTGCAGCTAACAGGTAGTAGAGACCGTCTTTCAAGTATATGTGTGGCCCTTCAGGCGCCTACAACAGGGTTAACTGTCAAGTGCCTCGGTGTCCATGAGTCTGTATAAAGTCACCATGCCACCCGTGCCATTCCAAATTGTTCTCCATTCCCCAACCTCACCAGTATCGAGGTTCGCTTCAGCTTGCTGTAGCCAAGGACTTGCTACTGTTAGTCACACTGCACGGAATTCAATCTTTTGGCTCACGCGTGAGACCTACCCAATCTTCCAGGCATGTGCCCCGTTGATGTATGTCTTCCCGTCTTTGTCCCAGAACGGCTCCGTGTCGTAGCCCACGAACTCAAAATGGGTTGCATTCGACCACGAAGAATCTTCATACGGATTGTTGCTCTTGAAAATTATCTGCGATAAAGTGAGCATAAAAGCCCCCGGGACCAACGGCGAGGGCGGAGTGGACGGACATTATCCCACCTGGAATCGTCATCTGCTGGTCTATCATCGTCGACGAGGGTCGTCACTAGCCAGAAGGTCTCGTCGTGAAAACGCAATGTTGGTGCCCAAATGCCACTGACTTAATTAACACCAGTAGCCATGGACGTTGATGGCGGAGGACTGACCTAGTCGAACGATTGGTCTCGACCAGACGTGGAAGCTGATGCTCTCGATTAAGAGCATGACCTGCGTCCCATGAGCACGGATTATTGAGATGAGCTGCTTGGGATATACCTATTAGCTTCCAGTTCTGCAAGTCTTTGCTAGCATGGAGGGGAATGCCCGGAAAGGCGTTGAAGCTCGAGGAGGCGCAGAAGAAGGTGTTGTCCCATTCCGGGACAAATGTACAACTTGGATCCGGGTGAAATCCAGGAATGGCAGGGTTATAGAAGGTTGAATTAGACGCCAAGGCCGTCCCACTTGGAATAAGAAAGATACACCACGTCGCAACTAGCCACCGAATACGTGTTGATAGAGAACTCATATTGCACATACAACCGCTTCTATGATATGACACAAAAATTCTTCAATCGCGAAGTAACGAGGATATGATTTAAACTTATACCAGCCTGGTCGATCGTCTGTCAATTTGTGGTGCATGAGGAGGAACGCTAAGTGCCTTTATCCAGTGCAGATGCATCACCCCGCAGTCGTTCGTTCCGGGTGACATCACGCTGCAGGATTTGAGCTTTCGGAAAATTTTTGCTGGAAATCTTTACTCGACTGAGATTTTTTGCGTTGTTATCTTGCCCCTTCTCTTGAAATTAGCAGAGTCGAGGATGACGGGGAAGCCGTGGAGGCAGCAGCTGCTGTTGCCGGCTGGGGGCTTGGGTGACGACTTCAGTATACTGGGAACGCTGAAGCTCAAAAAGAGCAGATACCGTACTCGCAGGCTACATACTGGGGCGAAAAATCATTGAAAATGGTCCAGATAGAGATCGAATTATCACCTACAAGCCGAGGAAACAGAGTATGATAGCCTTCACCGCGGTTATCGTAGAATACTAGACAGAAGACCGCAAGAGCTGTGTCCGTCTATCACGATCGCTCCTTACCTCGGCTGATCCCTCTGTCATTGATACTTGGATGAGATCACTTAGACCAACGGGATTGGGGTGCAGGCTTGGAAACTCCATTCGATTGGTCCCTGCCTGTACTGTCACAGCTTATGTTTGTAGGCCGACCTGTTCCCCGCCATGATGAAGACGCGGGGACTGAGTATTAATCCCGGTCAATGGCGGGGTTTCTTGGTCGTGTATGTTGGTTCATTGTCACGCTAGAAGCAAGCTGACCTGAGATAGGGCGGATTTGGACATCTGGCTTGCTGGAGCGATGGACCTCATTGTATTCATTCACGTGGCATTTCCTCTCACCTGCAGAACTCAAATGTTCCCTCGCCAGCTCTAGAGAGGCGTGATCAGCTGGTTCTCGCCTCTATGCTGGGAACCGCGAGTAATACAGAGGGAAGATCAGCGGGTTGATGATGATAGTAATTAACCCCCACGGTCGAAACAACGCAATGGGGGCCATGAAACGGAGGGGCAAAACCAAGTTAGTAGTAGTCTTTGAATCGACCGACGAATTACATGCAGTCTATGTTCTGTCTCCAAAAGCCCAGAAATGCAGCGGCCGTCGCATTAAGCCTATACAGCAGGCACTGTTGCCTGCGAAGAGAATCGAATTCCGAACTCGTTGACGGCGTGAGAGTCTTTACTTCCGTTATGCACCTTCCTCAGCAAACGCCGCGCCCCTTTTTTAGAGGTTAGGCGGGGGACTGCCTCCAAAACGCCTTCTACCTTATGCAGGTCATCCACTTCGAACGCAGCACCTCCATCTCTGCAGTTCTCCTCCATTGTGGGACCTCTCTTCTTCCTTCAGCGTCCTCTTTTCGGACGTTATTCGTCCCAGGTCCACACAAGCCGTGTGGCTACCGCGAGGCTGGCATCATCTGAAAACGCCTCATCTTTCAGAGCTCAGATTCAGCACCGTTCGTCTCAACGTTCATCGGGTTCCCGTTCTGTGCTTGCCGCTGCAGGCGAAGACGCGCGTTTCCACGCAGGGCACGGCGTCTGGGGGCAGGTCTTCCATTGCCATTCATGTTTTCGTCCTCCTCGTCCGAATCGGGATGCTCGTCAGCATATAGCCGCGCCTCGTCCAACTCCGTCATATCATCCGGTCGGTCCCTGAGCCATTGCATCCGAGGGCCAGATTTGGCAATCTCTGAGACGCGGAAACCGTAAATGCGAGGCTCATATATCCGGCCCGCTCCTAACCCGGGGGCAATGTTCTTGGAGTACATTCCGTTGACCGCCTCGAGTGAGTCGTCATTGATGCGCGCACCGCCGCTGCTGAGTACTTCAGCTCCACGCTTGGTCAAGTCGTACTCAGGGAATGTGAGAAGAAACAGAGCACCAAAAGTGCGGCCGAAGAAGGCACCGTCCACAGTCTGAAACCTGCTGTTGGGGGGAACGTAAACATCGAGGCAGGAAGGACAGAACAGCTTGACAGTGTCTTCGCCTGGAATGTCGGACAGGCCAACAGGAAGCGTCCTAGCTTGGTCGCAGTTCGTGCGTGGGCAGCAGCCGAAATGTCCCAACTCGTACTTCTCGCTCATTTGCTGTATGCCTGCTCTCGAGCAGATAAAGCGCTGGTGAATCAGGCCATAGAGCATCTCGGAGGAGGACTCGATCACGCTGAGGTCGCTGGCCATCCGACTGTGCTGTCTTCGGTCATGCCTGGGCCCGAGCCGGTCTTGATCTCCCGAGTCGTTTTCTTCCTCGTCCTCCTCGTCTTCTTCTTCCTCCTCATCATCCTCCTCGGGTTCCACGTCCAGAATCATCTGCACAAAAGAAGAGTTAGCGTAAGAAAATGCTTGGGGTGCTGCGGGGGTGGCAAATTGGGAAATCCAGGAGAAGCTGATGGATGGTCATGCGTACCTCGAGTGCCTCCTTGTACATCGCAACTTGGTTCTGCAAACCCGTGAGGTTGAAGTCATCTTCAATGAACTCCTCCGAGACCTCAGCAAAGTACTCATGACCGAGTAGGGAACAGAAGGAAGATATCCAAGACTCCGGGGCCCCCGAAGAGGTGGACATGTCGTCGAGGTAATCCAAGGTGAAGGTATTGAGGGGGTGTCGGGTAGAGCAAGGCAGTTGTCGCGTGAGCGAACACGCGTTATCCGACGGATGGGATTGAAGTCGCTTCTATCCGTACGAGTTGAGTGTGTGTGATAACCCAGCAGCCAACAGGAGCGGCGCGAAGATGGCGGGGTAGGTGAGCGTCAAAAGGTCAGACGCGGCGCATGTCGAGCGCAAAGCACAGCAAGGTCGGCGGCAGTGGTAAAATCGAAGATCGACGTTGGTTTCGCGAGAGATCGGACGTTCCGCGCGCAGCCAAGGTTGGAGTCGAGATATACTTTTTTTCGGGCCTCTTTTTGCTGAGGGAGAACGAGGTTGTATTTTGGGGAGCCTCTCAGCTTTTGCTGAACTTGGTGGGCTGTGGACAGTGGTGCCTCACGACGACGCCCAGCCCGCTTAGAGAAGGAGATTGCGGCCAATCATCGGTGTGGTCTGTGCACCAGATACGCTCGGTAAGCGGCCTGACATTTGTTCCGCCGCATCTTACCGAAGGTGAGCGGTGGCCTCACCGAGATCACAATGTCTCTTCCGTCGAACCACGTGATGTCAATTTGCTCTCCTCCGTTGTTGCAGCTACCTTCTCTCAATCTCTATTTCCCTCTGCGCATTGTTTGAGTCTCTGGGAGGGGAACTCGATAACCGAGGCAGAGACCATGCAACCTCGCTCCATAAGATGCGGCTTGCGATTCGGCCGGGAGAAACCAGCATTCCACTCACATCGATGTTTCTCGACGATCAAGACCCTCAACGCTATCGAAGAGCCATTTGCCTCTGTCGGTGTCCCTGAGTTCAGAAGCTTGGCTTTTGAGGCGGGAAAGCCTCTGGCGTTCAAGCAACCAAATACGATTCCAAAACGACCATCCTTCCCAGCGTCGACGAAGTGGTTCATGCAAGATGAAACCAGCCTATCGCCATCATATCACGGAGAACGTCCCATGAGCTTTGCGCCTTACATGGACCGATTCGCTCATCATATGCTTCCATACGAATTCATGAGCCCACAGCTGTCCGAAGACGCAGGCTTGGTTGTCAACACCACAAGCCATTTCCTAACTTGGCTCGCGTCAGGTTCAGACCCCTTGGGTGCCGTGCTAGCCGGCATCGTGCACGCCGCCGCTTACCCAGACGCCTCAGAGCCAAAGTTCTCCTCGTTCAGCGCTCCATTGCTGCTGTTGCTCAAAGCAGTCGAGTTCAATAAGCTGCATGAGAAGAAGCTTAAACAACTTTACGTCGCTCAGGCCCAGCTACCAGACCTACCAATAGAACTGCAGGAAGATCTTCCAGTGCCTCGCATAGTCACAGACGCTGGTAAGGGTGATGTCTACAACTCAAGCATATGGCTCGGCTTGGAACCAACTTATACACCGCTGCATCGCGACCCGAACCCCAATCTCTTTTGCCAGTTGGTTGGCAAGAAAATCATCAGACTATTGCCGCCTTCCTCAGGAGATCGGTTGTATCGACGAGTGCAGACGCAGATTCAGCATTCTGGCAATGGTCGGATTCGAACGTCTGAGATGATGGAGGGTCGAGAGAGGGTGGTTTTGAACACGGCCGTTTGGGGTATGGAAGGCCCTGAAGACCTTGTCGAAGCGAAACTGGATCCTGGCGACGCCTTATTCATTCCCAAGGGTTGGTGGCATAGCGTCAAGAGTGGGCATCACGACGGGCGGCTCAATGCATCTGTGAACTGGTGGTTCCGATAATAAATCTGATATCCGGGAAACCAGTGGACGATGATTGGATTGACATCAATTATACCGTGTTTCAGGCCGAAGGTGAGCTTCAAGACACTCAAAAATACATTAAAAAAAAAGGAAAGGAAAGGAAAGAAAAATCACGCAGCTCCAGGCTTGACGTTCACTCACTAGCGTGTGGTTGAAGGTACTCCACCGACTGTGACACATTCTACACGGGTTCGCCACGGGGCTGAGTTCATCACAGATCCACACTCAGCACAATAGCTCAGGGGTAGAGCGCTGGGCTCATAACCCAGAGGTCCCTGGATCGAAACCAGGTTGTGCTAGAATTTCCCTTTTTGTCTTTTTTTCCCCCTCTTCTTTCCCTCTTTCTCTATGTGCTTGCTCTACAGAGTTTGCGTCTGTTTGTCACGTTGGGACTCTACTACCGCCCCCTCAATATGGTTGGTCAAAGGACTGACAGAATATGTGCTCTGGCTTAAATGTTCATTGTGCCAATGTAAGGCTCAGGGCATCGCTTAATATGACATGCCAATTACTCAGCGAGGGGACTACATCGCGAGGGTGCCGCAAACTTCGTCATTTGCTGCACACGTCGTGCCTGCTTCGCACCACGCAAGGCAGGCCGTCCTTCATGGGCAGTGTGAGGCTACTCTTGCTAACTCTTTCAAAGTCATCAACTCTGACGCAATCGAAAAGCCCGGCCACAGTGGCAATGACTTGGACGGCTATAATCTCAGCCATTTTCTTGCCTAAGCAAGTTCTAGGTCCGCCATTGAACACCGGGAACTCGGATGTAGTCTTGTTGAGGACCTTGCCATCAACCAGCCAGCGGTCAGGGCGGAACTGGTCTGCATCTGGGCCCCAGGTAACCCGAGAACGGTTCATTGCCCAAGTGCACCAAACGATGACGGAGTTTTGCGGTAAAAATGTTCCGTCTGGAAGTGTCGTGGCTTGAACGACCTGCTTGATCTCGAAAGGAATGGGCGGGAAGATGCGCAGAGCTTCACAGAAAACTGCGAATGTGTATGGCGTTGATGTCGGATTGCATCGTTCGGAAATGGTCTTCTCAAAGCTTTTCTCGCTGCCTGCCGTGAGGCTGTTGACTTCGTCTCTGATCTTAACCACAACGTCGGGGTGTTTCATCAGGAGGTAAAAGGTCCATGTGAGGGCTTGCGCTGTGGTGTCTCTGCCTGCAGAGAGGTAGTTTAGCGCGGCGTCCGCAACTAACTGCTCATCGCCAATGGCGTCCAAAAAGGAATGGATCAGGCTCCCTGAGATATCGTTCAGTCTGTCAGCGGCCTCTTCCGCCGAGACCGTATCGACCGGCTTTCCAGCACGCTTTTCACTGTCACCCGTCGCACTTGATACGATTCTTTGACCAAATGACTTGACGATGGATATTGATTCTCGAAATCGCCTTCCAGTGAAAATTTCCGTGATAAACCAGAGAGGATTCTGAAATCTCTCGGCTGTTGCGCCAGATGCGTAGTCGAAAGCCAAGCCAAACTCGTCTTCGGCGTGCATTTCCATCTGAACGCTCATTAGCCACCGTCAGACTCCATCGCAGATTCGTTAGTGTCAGGTTACGAGATGAACATACGTTATAAGCCATCTTTCCCATGAGCTGAGTTGTGATTTCGTGAAATACGCCTTGTAAATCGACCGAGACACCACTCGAAGCCCTTTCTTGTAACAAAGCTACGCTTTGGGACAGATACCGCGGCAAGGCGACGTCTGTGAGAACCCCCAGGTTGGATGTGTTGAGGAAGTTTAGCCCAGCTTTCCGCTGGACCTTCCACAAATCACCGTCTACATTGATGATGCCATTTCCTGAGATGAATGAGCTCACCGAGATTTTCGCCAGAGCCATGTCTCAGCACTCACCAAACAGATCCCGCGACCGTCCCTTGAAAAACTCGCCTTTAGCAAAGATGCCTTCATGCTTGAACACGTATTCAAGGTTCTTAGGGTCACTGATGATGACCCCAGGTGGCAAGCTCGGAACCAAGATTTGCAATGTTTCGTAGCCATGAAGCTGTTCACACTTGGTGAACCAGTCAAACAGCTTCTGGCGATCTCTCAGAAAGTTGATGCCATTCCCAGCCAGCGGTAATGTATCAGGCGGGCGTCTCAAAACCAGTCAGCATGGCGTTGTATGTCCAGATACTCCACGCCCTTCCTGTCCGGGAATCGCGTGTCATTTTAAAATATGGTTTATAGCTTACCTCAATGGGACGCCATTCCGTCTCAGCTTGGGCTGTCCCAATACGACATACAAAAAGAGGGCGACTACTCCGGCCACGAGTACCGTTGGGATGTTTAGGTAGCCCATGCTGAGATACTCTTCATCGACAGAGAAGATTGCCAATTGATATCGGTCTAACTCCAGAGATCTGATGAGGTTGAACCTCGTTGAGCCTCGTATCCACGTCAGACGAGTCTATGGCACGAAGGAAGATGCGGGCACAGGGTCGAAGAAGTTGCATCAACCTCGAGTATCATTCGCACGCACAAATGCCCGCCGAAGCTCGTCTTAGTCTGGCAAAAGGGGACTGGTCCTAACAGGGTCGGCCGAATGGTCTGAGCCTTGAACACACAGTGAACGCCGCAGCAAGATCACAGAGGTCGCGGGGGTTGGAGTCTCAAGTGTCGGGATTGTCCAGTGAGAGCGAAGCGATTGGAACTGACTCCCTCTGTTGGGGGCTTTGCCAGAAACCTACCCGACAAGTTCCCGCAGGTCCGGACCACAGTTTCAGTGGGGAGGAGGTAGCTTCCCAGCCCCTGAGGTGGCTCTTTCAAGACCTCCACCTTTGCATACATGTACCATCTCACCTTAAGGTACCTTAGGTAGCTGCCTAATAAATGCGCCGGGGAGGCTGAGTTGCCACTAGCACCTAGGTAAGGTGCCTACCTAGGTACCTAGTTAGTATGCCTCACATGCGACGATGGAATGGAGATTGGATCCGACCTGTGCCACAAGGGAACATTTGGAGTTTGATGCCCTGAACCGGGGGCTCTGGACCCCTGTCCTGGGGCTGTCCCTGTATCAATTGGCTGCTAATGGCGCCTAGCGAGTGCGATAGCTTCCGTCCCTGCTGGCGGGGAGCTTCGGCACGAACTGTGCAAGGAACCCAACACTTGTTCGATTTACCCTCAACAATACTGGGGGGCCTCCAATCTGCTGCGTTGCTTGCGATCGCGGGCGCTGTTTGGCTTCTCAGTGCATTGAAGTCCAGCCTCGGACGCGTCACATACCGCGTTCATGCCGCGTTGATGCCGAAACTCTCACCTACAATGGTTTGACGATATATCCTCTGTCACCTGCTGCGTAGCATTCTGCAGCTTTCCTGCCAACTGTACCGCAACACCAACCGGCCGAATACCGACGTCATCACGATGGCGCCTCTCGTCCCTCGCTTCCACTTGTTCGAGATTGACGACCAGCCATGGTGTGTATAAGAAGACCAGTGCGCCTGCGTTCTCCGCCATCAAAAGCTGACAACCCACGCATCTTAAGGTTCCCGTCCTTCCTCCGCGCTCTTGTCCAAGAAGGCCTCCACGCGACCTGGGTTAACAAGTTCCCCGTCCTACAAACGGCCTCGCCCGCGCACATTGCCGCCCAAATCCTCCAGCGGACCCTTGGTACACGACTCTCCTCCTACACCTTCATCGACTTTTGCGCCGGCTCGGGAGGCCCCACCCCGGCCATCGAGCGGGCCGTGAACCGCCATCTTACCGCCCAGAAGCAACCTAACGTCGACTTTGTCCTGACCGACCTTTGGCCGAACCCTGAGAGCTGGGCGCGCGCCGCTGCCAAGAGCGAGCACATTGGCTACGAACCCAAGAGCGTCGACGCCGCAAACGCGCCCCGTGATCTGCTCGCTGGGTACCGCGGCAAGAACAAGAAGATCTTCCGCTTGTTCAACCTGGCCTTCCATCATTTCGATGACCCATTGGCCAAAGCGATTTTGAAGAACACGCTCGAGACCTCGGACGGTTTCGCCATTTTCGAGCTTCAAGGTCGCGACCTCTATTCCGTCATTTTACCCGCCATCCTTGGCATTGGCGTGTTCCTCCTGGCTCCTCTTCATGCGTGGAAGTTGGGTTCGCTCAACGCGCTCATATTCACATACCTTATCCCTATCCTGCCATTCGTCCTGGTTTTCGACGGATACATCTCAGCGCTAAGGACAAGAACGCCCGACGAGGTTGAGGCGCTGATGAGATCGTGCGGGGCCAGGATGGAAGGTTGGGAAGTAAGAAGTGGCAAAGACGCACACATCCATGGTCTTGGCTATGTAAACTGGATCGTCGCGGAGAAGATTTCATCTCGAGACTGGTGAGGAAGTACACCGGTTCGAGAGATGTGGAACCTGGGAAAATGTTGCCTGCGAGCACGTGGGGTATGATTGAGGACATGTGATAATGACTTGTACCCAAAAGCGGTAGCCATTTGACGAACCAACTTACGAGAATAAGACACACAACCCACTACAACCAGATAGTTCGTCATCGCTGCGGTCCGCACATGAAATATCTTGTGCACAATAGTGCCCAACTGATGGCCAAGAAATGCATCTTGATTTCAAAACCATGAACAGGTGATCAAATTTCCGAAGGCGTTGTACCGTCCGTGTCACTTTCAGTACAGCTCGACTGGATTGCTTCAAATTTGCTTTCTGTTCATTCTATCAAATGAAGCCCAGAACACTTGACTCCTGTTTTAACAGTAAATAAAACCTCAAGGCCGCGATCCCATCTGCGGCATCGTGATGTGTCGAGAGCTCGTCATCGACATCCCAATTTCCCGGAACCCTTGGTGATTAAAAGAAGAAACTTTGTCATAGCCCGTCACATGCAACCCGTGAAATAAGCAACGCTGATATTAGGCTCTGTGCTTAAACAACGGGGCCAGCCTTGACGACATCTTCTGTCGCCTCGCTCGCGTACTTCTTGAAGTTCTCGTTGAAGAGGACACCAAGCTTCTTGACCTCCGTGTTGAAGCTATCACCACCCGCGGTCCAGGCAGCCTTGGGGTTGAGCAGTTCTGAAGGAACACCAGGGCAAGTCTTTGGGACTTGCAGGTTGAAGGTGTCGTAGGTCTCGTACTCGACCTTGGCAAGCTCGCCAGAGTGGATGGCGTCGAGAATGGCGCGAGTGTACTTGAGAGGGCAGCGCTTGCCGCCCTGGGCAGCACCAGCACCAACCCAACCGGTGTTGAGGAGCCAAGCATTCGCGTTGTGATGCTCGATCTTGTCCGCAAGCATCTTGGCGTAGCGCATGGGGTGCAGGGCCAAGAAGGGCTGGGCAAAGCAGGAGGAGAAGGTGGCCTGGGGCTCGGTCACACCGTCCTCGGTGCCAGCCATCTTGGAAGTGTAGCCAGAGATGAAGTGGAACATGGTCTGGGCACTGTCCAGCTTGGAGATGGGGGGCAAGACACCACGGGCGTCGCAAGTGAGGAGGACGATGTTGGAGGGGTGTGAGTCTGACTTGCAGGGAATCTTGGCGTTGTTGATGTACTCAATGGGGTAGGCGCATCGAGTGTTCTCGGTGAGGGTGCAATCATCATAGTCGACGACACGAGTCTCGGGGTCGAAAACGACGTTCTCGAGGACGGAGCCGAAGCGGATAGCGCCAAAGATATCAGGCTCCTTCTCGGCAGACAGGCCGATGGTCTTGGCGTAGCATCCGCCCTCAATGTTGAAGACACCGCGGTCGGACCAGCAGTGCTCGTCGTCACCGATGAGGGCACGCTGGGGGTCCGCGGACAGGGTAGTCTTGCCGGTACCCGAAAGACCGAAGAAGAGGGTAACATCGCCGTTCTTGCCCTCGTTGGCAGAAGAGTGAAGGGTGAGGACGTTGTGCTTGATAGGCATCTCGTAGAAGAGGACGGTGAAGACACCCTTCTTCATCTCACCGGCGTATTCGGTGCCGAGAATGACCATCTCCTTCTCGGCGAAGTTGATGGCAACCGAGGTGCCGGAGGTCATACCCTCGGTGTATCGGTTGGCGGGGAAAGAGCCGGCATTGTAGATGGTGTAGTCGGGGTGGAAGTGCTCCAGCTCCTCGCGAGGAGGGCGAATGAGCATGTTCCTCATGAACAAAGCATGGTAGGCGCGGGCGCAGATAACGCGGACACGAATGCGGTACTTCTCGTCCCAACCGGCGTAACCGTCGACGACGTAGATGCGATTCCTCGTGTTGAGGTAGTCGATGGCACGCTCACGGTTGATCTTCCAGACCTAGAGTTCTCACATGTCAGCGCTCGTTCGGTGACTGGTCGACTCGGTGCATATGTGGGCCCAGGGCCGGGAAAAGCAGGAGTGTGGATCTGCAGCATTGCGGGGGAGGACAACAGGGGGCGGTAGAGTTTAGCTCGGCCTGCATCCAAAATGCGGGGCCGGCATTCTGCACCTGCACTTCCTGGGTCGAAGGAGAAAGCGAAAGGGGCAGACAGGAGGGGCAGCGCCAGCAGCCTATGACGACACAGCACACACGGCACGAGACCGTATCATCGCAAGAACGGCACGCCCAACTCGAGCAAAGCCCACACGAGCCAGCCAGCTCCAGCTTGCTGCCGACCCGCGCACATTGGACGAATGCATCTCGATGAGACCCTCCACCACACGTGCCAATCAATGCGCATCATCTTTGCGCAAAATGGGCCAAAGGTAGTGGAAACACGGCTGCTAGATGCAGCGTCGATCTGAAACATGACGTATCCGTCAACCACAAAGACTTTGCGGGAAATCTGCCACGCTGACTCGGATTTGAACCAAGCTGCAAAGAGACGACATGGTGATTTTTGCTGGGTCTTGCTGGCCAACAGACGGTCGTGTGACCAGACGTGTGTTCTACACCCATATGCGGGCATGCGTGTGTCTGAGGAATGCAGCGGGCAACGAGCTAGGGCTAGGCTGTTCGAGACGGGTTTGGCTGGGCTGAGGGCAGGACAAAGGAAGCCGACTGGAACCGCAGCAGCTGCTTGGGAGCTTGCGTCTGCATCCTGACTCGATTTGGGGTTTCTCTTACCTCGGGTGACATGGGCTTGTTCACAGGACCCCACCTGAAAAATGCTGTGTTAGCAAATGGTTACGCACTGAATGGTCAGCGCCAGCCAAACTGCCGGGCACCGAATGTGTCGTTGCGCAAAGCGTTCGGGAGCAAGCCTACCAAATGTCGTTCTTGGAGCTGTCCTCCTCGACAATGCGCTTGTCCAGAGGGGAGCGGCCAGTCTTCTTTCCGGAATAGGCAGTGAGAGCTCCACTTGAGGTGATGGCGGAACCAGTCTCGTACACCTACGATTCTTTGTTAGCTGGAATGCGCAACCACCCGGTTGCTTGGAGCATGTACTCACCAGCGCATCTTCGTACAGAGCGGGAACGGAGGGGTTGGGAATCTGGGAAATTGTGTTAGTGCCTTATACGACATGTCTGAGGCGATCATCATACAATAGCGACGCGGTCGTAGTCGATGTGGGCAGTCTCGTGGAGCTCCTCCTCTGTTCCAACATGTCAGCTAGGCTCGTTGCCGTGCAAGTAGGCCATTGAGGAGGGTCGGCTCGAGAGGGGTATTGGTCATACCGAGCTCAGTGTGCTCGTGGTGGGGACTGTACATGGACGTTAGTTGGGTTGGTCTCTTGGTTGTGCGGGTATTATGGACAAACATACGCAACACCACCGGGGTGGAGAGGAGTCTTATTGACGTTGCTGACAATCACTGTGAGGTTCGACATGTTAGTTGGTGGTGATTTGGTAGGAACAAGCCATGAGCGGGAGGCGGCGATGGGATATATCAAGGTGCTCAGGTCCGAGACGCAAACAAGGTTTGCGTCTAAGTGGAAGAAGTCGGGTGGAGGATTGGTGGAGGTGACGAGACGAGGAGGCGAGGAAGAGGAGACGAACTTTTGCGTAAATCTGCCTGGTATCCTTCTGCGAGAATCTGTGACTTTGGGCCCTTTACTGCTGGATCAATGTAGGGAGAGGCACTGCGTTGGACGGGATCCTTCATGTTTATAAAAGATTCTGAGGGATGAAAGAAGTCGGGTGTTGAAGGCTTGGAAAGGCTTGGAGGCTTGTGTTCTCTTCCGCTTTCAGGGATCCAAAAAGGAATCGTATCCACTTGGAGGAGTGTGAGCGTGTAGGTAGAGTGGTGTAGACAAGGCTGCTTCGTGGCTTGCTCAGACCGGAACCGAGGATAGAAGGGCCAGAACGGGGTCCTCCACTTATAACAACGGGCGCGGCTTGTGGAGTCGCGGGGGCGAAGGCAGCAATGCCAGTGGTTAGTTTGCCGTTGCTGCGCGCTTCACGATATTATCTCGGGTTCGATGAACGGGAGAAGACCCTTGTGCGGGTTCGGGATAGAGGAGGAATAGGGAGAGAACGGGGGTGTACTTGAATGGGGGGGTGTCAAGGAGGGGTGCGGGAAGGGTGTCTGTTTAGCTGGACATGAGCGGGAAGTTGGGGTCGGCGGTGCAGGACGGGTCAGAAATGGCAGATGGTGAGGTGCAGAGCATCTTGGATTGCCTCATCGTCCCAAGATAACGAGGCCCGACCCCGTCAGTTGTGTTTTATTCGATTCGGGCCATGTTATCGCGGGGGGCCGGAGCATCTCGTAGCTGAAAGACGGGACGCTAGTTGCCTTGGGTGGAGTGGGCATTCAAGGTGGGCCTGGAATAGATAATTGGAAGCAGTTTATTAGTTGGCAGTTGACTACCTAGGTAGGTAGGTAGTGCATCCGTCGGTAGGTAATAGCTTGGTTGGTCCGCTGGTTGGACGAGTTTGCGGTCAGAGGGAGAAAGGGCCAAACCTTGTGTGTATTTGCAAGGGAAGAGTAATTGATATCCAATACGCTGCCTATGGCCGCTGGCGAACCAAGGACCCAGGATGGACTGGAAGGCGTGGAACTTGGAGGGGGGAGGGGGGAGGGGGAAGGGGGCACCGTAGGAGGGGCAACACAACGCGGGTGTGCAGGTGGTGTGTCACGGAGAGGTGTGGGGCAGCTTCTCCACAGTCTGCAGTCTGCTCCCGTACGTCTCCGTTGCGTCGGCTTGGGGCTCCCGAATCCTGGCTAACCCGTGGCTGTTTTTCGAGATTTCGAGGTTTGCATCTGTGAGAGAACTCCAGAGTTCGGGCGGCCTCCGGGACCTGTTCTTCAGGCTGAGAATGACAGCCCGAACGAACACGTACCTGTGGCACTACCAACACTACCTTAGCTCTAGAGGCACGCATGCATGCTACCTAAGCCACGTAAGATACATCCCTCACCTTAAGGTACCTTAGGTGCCTACCTACTACCTACCTTACGCCGTACATTACCTTACATTACCTTACCTCAAGCACGATTGTACGGCCCTTGGCTTGATGATCGATTATCCCACCCGCCGCCCGGATAATTATTATCCAAACGCATCTTTGGGTGAGGTGGGCAACGGAACGGAACTGCTCGCGGGGGACTCTAGTTCAAACACACAATGCCATCTTCCATACCTGTCTTTGGTTCCTCGTTGCTTTTCCTTTGTAAAAGTGCATGATCGAGTCAGTATCAAACAGACCGCTTCGCTCGGATAAAAGCATCTTTTAGCTGGCACAGGCATTTTTTCTCTGAAGGTTTCCAGATTTTGCAAGATGAGGTGGGCTGTCTGCTCTGTAAGGCACTTACCTATTCGTAAATGTGCTACTTGTATCAGGCACTCGAGTAAGGTCCCTAGCGCTGAGCTGGCGCATGCGAGGCCGATGTTCCTGGGTAAGGGTACGTAAACTCCCATAGCAGACCTCCGCGCATGTGCTGCTGTCCAATGTGGCAGGCGTGCCTTGCCGCTGCGCAAGCCTCCGTGTCCAGGGCAGTCTACTACCCAATCTCAATCTCCCCCAGCCGTGGCATCTCCAAGACTCCCATTTCCCGCCTTCTCCTCCCCCCCGCCCCCGAACCCGCCCACCAACAGGCCAAGCCTTCATGGGGTCACCGACGTTGGCGTTCCCATTTTGGTCCTTTGGTCTGATCCGGCCCTGCTCGCCCTACAGCTATGCTACCTTGCCATTCCCAGCGTTGATGACTCCTGACTGGGCCCTGCTTGCTGCTGTGCTGGGTCGCCCGTCTGCTCTCGAATCTTGCCGCATCTCAAAGCCGGGGCCGCTAACGCGGAAAGTCTAAACATCATTTTTTTTCTCCTGCTTCATCAGCCCTCTCCTCGTGCCCGTTTCTCAGAGTCCTTTGTTCCAGTCTTCCGGTGCCCCTCTCTCCCTTCCGCGCGTGTCTCGTCTGCTCTCTGTGACCGGCACATGGCTGCCGTCCGCCTGTCACTTCCCCACGTCTTCTGTTCGGGTTCGACGTGCGTGGTAGTTGCATTTCTCCGTCTCTCACTTCTCAGCGGCATGTGTCGAGGAAGAGCTGAAACGGCGTCTACGAAAATACTTAGGAACACCTATGCTTATCACTCGTGGCCGTGTCCACCGGCGGGCGGCGGCAATGCAATGCGAGAAGCAAAATCCCATCCGACTGACAAGGCCGTTTTCCCAACCGCACGCCCCCCTTATCTCGTCCAAGTTGGCGTACCTAGCTTCATTGTCGCATTCCTGATTCTCCATCGGAGCATCACGGAAACGAGCACCGCAGCAGTCATCAACAACCCCAAAACGAGCCCCAAACATTGCAAAAGATGACGTTCGGCTGCTGCTCGAGAGCCGCTTGGCCCCGCCGCAATCCCTCCACGTAGCCGAGCATCTAGTGCAAGTTACCCCGCGCCCCGTTCCCCATGACCAATCACCCTCCGTCTTCATGCAGAGAGGCTTACCTTCAGTTATTCGTTCCGACATTCTCCGGCAAGCAATACCAACTTCCACTGCTGCCCCCCCCCTTGACGCCGCCGCCTAACTTCTACGATAGTATGTCCTGGAATATCAGTTAGGGCCCCCCAAAGATTAGAAAAGTGTGAGAGCACAGCAACGTAACAGTACGTACAGGGCAGGGGGGTTTGCTATGTAGACGTAGCCACTTGGCTGAATGTTGATCCATTGCTGCCTTTGCACCTAGGGTCTTTTTCGCTATGACGAATGTTGCTATTACGTACATGCCGGCTTTTACGAGCCCTCGTGACCGCCGAAATTTCAAGAAATAGGAGTCAGCTTCTCAGGCGCAGACCGCCCTCAATCAAGGGGTTGTGCATCACTTGACCTGGCACGTTCCTGGGGAAAAAAGAAACGAGATTGCAATTCTCCGTGGACTGTTCTGGCCGAACGGGCTGAGTGTAGATGTGTGCATGCGGCAGACGCAGTACCTAACCCCACGATCGATGTTTCCCGAGAGAACGGCGCAAGAACACAGGCAACTGTATCTCAGTATTCGTACTAGGCTGGGCTGGGCTCGGCTGGACTAGGTAGTGCCTACGCTGGGACGCCTCCGTTAGGCCGGGGACCCCTCGGCTCCGCCGCCCCGCCGCCGATTGCCGTAGCCCGGCTCCATAGATTTCTGCCCGAATATTGCACTCCTACCATTGGGTGTTTCTAAACCCACTCCGACACGAGAAGAACCCGGGTTCTCCGACGTCGCTAGGGGCATCCTTACCGTTCCCTGACCTTTCATCATCGGGTCCGCAGAAATCCTCTATCATCGGGATTACTCGGGACGCAAACAGTTCAAGGTTGTCACCTCGGAAAATGTGATTTCTAAATCCTGCTTCGGCCAAGAGGGTCAAAACGTGAAGCCATCGTCATGCGCCTGCTTTGAAGGGTTTGAGATTGATTTTTTTTTTTAAAGGTTCTACCTCCCCTACCCATCCCTTACTATTCTCAGAATGCTACGTCTCTATCATGCGGAGCCCTCCCGTTGCGGCCCGTCCGTATTGCCGCCACGGCATTACCGCCCTCCCTGACGTCGCTCTGTCCTCGTTTTACACCATCTCAGGTCAATCTCTATGCATATTGGCCATGGCCCAGAACTTTTCTGTACTCTTTCTGCGCTTGCTTCGCGAGCCTGCCATTCCAAGAGGGGAACTCAATTTAGCCAGCTCCTCTCAACCGAAGTCGACCTTTGGTTTCATTTCATTCGTTCAGAATTTAAGCCGTTTCATCCGTAATCAGCTTCGTGATCTTGCCAATGGCAATGGTTTGTCCCTATTTCCCAACATGTCAGCCATTAGACGTTCAATAATCCATGTGAACCACTCATACGAACCTGGTCTCTCAGGGTGAAGCGACCCATCTGCGGGTAGTCCTCGAACTTCTCAATGCAAACCGATCCAGCACCACCGATAACCTGCATGCGGGCGATGATGCTGTCGCCCTTCTTGGCGTGAGACGGCGGCAGCTTGCTCTTTCGGTTGGTGCCCTTCTGGAGCTTGTGAAGCAGCGCTGCGAATGTCACTTCTTCAATGGCAGCGTGCACGTGCAGTACGCAGTTGAAACCAGCAGTCAAGATGCTCTTGAGCTCGAGGATACGGATCTGAGCCTCGAACGTGGCAACGTTGTGCACCAAGCGCTTGGGCGAGCACAGCACGAATCCGGGGAGAATGTCTTCTTCCTCGATGCCCCTGAGGCGAATACGAACCTGGTCACCGCACTGCGCAACCTGGGTTTCTTCTTCGGTCTCGCCGTATACGGCGGCAACGTCCACGCTCTGCTTGTTCGGCATCATAACGAGGGACATGCCCTTCTTGATAACACCGGCCTCGATTTTGCCCTCGATCATGGTTCCGAGATCTCGATACTTTCCGGCAACGGCCATCATGAAGGGTGCATT